GATGGAGGGGATCCTTTCACTGGGGCTAACACGGTGAAATTCCGTCTCCTACTAAAAAATACAAAAAAATTAGGCCCGGGGGCGTGGGGATGGGCGCCTGTAATCAGCTATTTGGGAGGGGCTGAGGCAGGTGGAATGGTTGAGAAACCAGGAGGCGCGGAGCCTTGCAGTGAGCTTGGAGATCTGCGCCACTAAGACTGAGACTCCGTCTTGAATAAATAATAAATTAAAAATAGAGGCAAGAAAGTTGCAGAATGTTCCAGTTTTAACAAGCACAAACCTATAAAAGAAGATGCCCCTTACAAAACAGCAAGGAACGCCCAAGGAGTGTTCTTGTCACATCCAGAGCCCCGAGGGCCACGGTGTTCCAGATGGATAAGTTTTTCGCAAAGGAGTTCCCACTTCTTGTTGATCAGTTCAACAAAAGCTGTGGTCATTTGCCCTGAGAAACAGAAACACCACTATTGCATTTTTAGCTACAGCACTTAAACTAAACTAATGGACTCAACACAACCTCTGTGCTTCCAGGAGCCTGAGTGCCCAAAGGGATTCTTACATTCTCCTTCAATTTCAGATGGAAGGATCCTGAAGGACTGTGGGGTGAATCAACCTATCCATTGTCTCAAAAACGGAGTTAAGAGATTAACTGGACCTCCACTTCCTCTCCTGACTCTGAATGTTTCACCTATTTCTCTTATTCTCCTTTCCAGTCTCCCAAGCCGAAATGCAAATGTTCATTAACAGCTTCTGCATCCAAATGATTAGTTTCTCCCTAGGGGTTCTCAGCTCCATTCTTTCTCTCTCCCTCTCTGCCCTAATTCTCGATCTCCTGACCTCGTGATCCGCCCGTCTCGGCCTCCCAAAGTGCTGGGATTACAGGCTTGAGCCACCCCGCCCGGCCTATTTTTATTTATTTATTTATTTTTGGTATAGAAAGTAAACTATTATAAACAACATTGAGCTCTTTTGCAAAACTGAAATTATAGCAGTTACAGTTTAATCATTCCAACTAATCATTGCTTGTTATATTTTGTTCAATTTTATCTTTTTTTTTGAGACGGAGCCTTGCTCTGTCGCCCAGGCTGGAGTGCATGTATCCGGGCACAGTGGCTCATGCCTATGATCCCAGCACTTTGGGAGGCCGAGGCGGGTGGATCACCTGAGATCAGGAGTTTGAGACCAGCCTGACCAATAGAGTGAAACCCTGTCTCTACTAAAAATATAAAAATTAGCTGGGCACGGTGGTGGGTGCCTGTAATTCCAGCTACTCAGGAGGCTGAAACAGGAGAATTGCTTGAACCTAGGAGGTGGAGGTTGCAGTGCGCTGAGATCGTGCCACTGCACTCCAGCCTAGGTGACAGAGTGAGACTGTCTCAAAAAAAAAAAAAAGAAAACCTTTATGTTTATACAAATTCTGAAAATTTGTTTTAAAAAATGGCCATCTGAATTGTGGGGACTATAGTTTGCATTTATCTGAGTACTTTTATTCATGTAATCCATAGGATTGTCCACATTTTCTAAATTAAAAAGAAATTCGGAAGAGTACTGCCACAGGGCATGGCAGAATACATTGAATGAAAATATCGGCTGGGCACAGTTGCTCATGCCTACAATCCCAACACTTTGAGAGGCCAAGATGGGAGGATCATTTGAGGCCAGGAGTTTGAGACCAGCCTAGGCAACATAACAAGGCCCTATCTCTGCAAAGAATAAAAAAGTTAGCTGGGTGTAGTGGTACATGCCTGTACCACTGGGTGTAGTGTACATGCCTAGCTTCTCAAGATGCTGAGGTGGGAGGATCGCTTGAGCCCAGAAGTTCAAGGCTTCAGTAAGCTACAGTTAAGCCATCGCACTCCAGCCTGCATGACATAATGAGACCTTGTCTCAAAAAAAGAAAAAGTGTGAAAGGTCCAAAGCAACATTGCTTAGAATTCCCTTCAAACAAATTGAAGCTATTTAAGACCAAATTAAATAGACCTTATTTTAATTGGGGTTCTTTGTAACTGTGTACTTGACAGTAATTCTCTTGATGTTATAGTATTATAAATTGGGATATTGTGGTTGTCATGACATTTGAAATGATATAAATAAACTGAGAAGAAATTGACTTAAAGTGAGAGTCTGGCTTCACTTACACTGGGATTCCTGAGACAAAGGTATGCGTCTGGAGCAGAGTTTAGAGAAGAATCTTTGTCAGAATGGAAGGATCTAGAGTTATGCTCTGCAATATGGTGGCCACTAGCCATATGCAGCTATTTAAATTAAAATTAAAGATTCGAGTGCACTTGCCATGTTTCAAGTACCCAGTAGCCACATGTGGTCACATGTCCTTGTCTTAGTACAGATCTGTAACATTTCCACCACTGCAAATAGTTCTATTGGACAGTGCTGGTAAGGATTTCTACTGTCTGTATTTTCTTATTTATATAAAAGAGCAGATGCTGGGCACAGTGGCTCACACCTGTAATCCTAGCACTTTGGGAGTCTCTGAGACCAGCCTGGGCAACATAGCAAGACCCCATCTCTACGGAAAAAAAAGTGGCCAGGTATGGTGGCTTATGCCTGTAATCCCAGGACTTTGGGAGGCTGAGGTGGGCAGATTGCCTGAGCTCAGGAGTTCGAGACTAGCCTGGGAAACATGGCGAAACCCTGTCTTTACAAAAAGTACAAAAATTAGGCAGGCGTGGTGGTGTACACCCGTGGTCCTGGCTACTCAGGAGGCTGAGGTGGGAGGATCACTTGAGTCCAGGAGATTGAAGCTGCAGTGAGCTGTGCTCGTGCCACTGCACTTCTGCCTGGGTGACAGAGCAAGACCTTGT